CTTGCTTGCCATGACCAGATTAGATGAATTCAAAAATACTTTGCCACTCTGACATTTTATAACTTGGGGATCCATGACAGCACCCTTATTTATAGATTGAATTAAGCGCATATTGAATACCTTTTCTTTTGTAATTGTAGGTGTATAACTTCAGTTGATGTTGTTATGGAGCAAACATTGAGTTTATCACTACATTAAAATTATAGATTTTAATCTTCTGTAAATCTCTAGACTCCTTTTATTTTCTTCCTGTCTGCAGCCACACATCTGACCAGTGCACTACCTCCTTCCACCAGCTGCAATCAAGAGTGATCTTTATAAAATCCAGTCTGTGATGACTCCCTTTGCTCCAGTTTCTTCATATTGAAATGCTGTGTCCACAGCTGATCCACACACACGGATCATTTCCAAGTGGTTCTCTCCAGCTCCACCTTGTCTGGGGGTGTCTTCATCTCTCATTAAGCCTTAATCACTCCTCTCCAGATATTCCCCTCAGGTTTTGCAGTCACATCCAGGGGAATCTTTATCAGGTTAAATCTTTGTTCCTACTCTTCTCCCCCAGCTGAACAAAAAGAAAATACATAGAAATAACTATGGTTTATTAATTCTGAAGATTGCTCTGCCACAGGATGGCTTCCAAAATGGGCCTTGCTCACCTCTTCTCCCTTATCTCTGTGTTCCTTTCCCACAATGCTCATGCCATATCATTTGTCTTTCATTTCCCGGGATCCAAAGTTCACTCAGCTTCCATACCAACCATGCGTAGAACTGACTCTCTATAGACCCAGACCTTCCTGGGTTTTATGTAGGCACTCTTCCTATGTGCTCACGGAGTACTCTGTACTTGCCTTTGTTGTAGTATCAATAGATATCACATCATTATGATGATAATTATTGGTCATTTTTAGATGGCTCCTGAGATCTTTGTTGGGCCTCCCTTGTGCTCAGCTGGTGAAGAATCTGCCTGCAGTGCAGGAGACCTGGGTTCGATCCCTGGGTTGGGAAGATCCCCTGGAGAAGGGAAAGGCTACCCACTCCAGTATTCTGGGCTGGAGAATTCCTTGGACTGTATAGCCCATGGAATCGCAAAGAGTCGGACATGATTGAGTGACTTTCACTTTCAAGATCTTCGTGGGCAGGAGCAATATCTGAATCACTTTTATTCATATTTCCCCACTAGATCACATAGTGCCTGTTATAGAAGGGTTCAGTAATTATTTGTTGAATGAATGAATATATATTTGGCACCAACCAATATTGAATGATTTTTATTTAGCTCAAGGATAGAGGAAATAATCAATGTAGAAGAATAATATAGAGGAAAATTGTGATTTTAGAAGAGGCTACTTTAATAATACTTGGAAGCCAGGTTGCAAAAGCCTCAAAAAATAAACAAATAAAAAAATGGTCAGCTCACAAAACAGCTCATTTGGTAAGTTTGATGTTGGAGGGAAGTATTTACGTGAATTATATGGCTAGAGGCCCCAGCAGGGTCTGATAGGAGTTCTCTGTGGGTAGATTGTGGGAAGATGGATATCAGATGTCGGACAGACTAGAGAAAAAGCTCAATGGGATGGACTTAAATATCATCATATAGTCACAGGTATTGGCAGAAACTACCATACCAGGGCAAACATACTGTTGGAATTTTTGCTCTAAACTTCAACGACCATGTACCTTGTTCAACCAGCACAAGATTCTACAGAAAATAAAAGTGAAGAAGGGATAGCAGCATTCTTTCCCTCTTCTGACCCTCAGAGAAAGCAGAATTAATTTGTGTGTGAACTCATGGAAGATACTTTATCTTTTCTCTTTTCCTTCTCTTCTTTTCTCTTTTTACTTAATTGTGAACCAACAGTGAGTCCTAGTTTACTGATTGGGTCTCAGGACCCTAGTTGGGTTGTGCTCAGTTGCTTCAGTCATATCTGACTCTTTGCGACCCCACTGACTGTAGCCTGCCAGGCTCCTCTGTCATTTTCCTGGCAAGAATACTGGAATGGGTTGCCATTTCCTTCTCCAGGGGATCTTTACAACTCAGGGATCAAACCTGAGTCTCCTGTGTCTCCCGCACTGCAGATAAATTTTTTACCACTGAGCCATTACCCAACACTTTTCTTGGGCTTCTCTTGCTTCATTGAGTGGTCCTCCCCTGACACCCTACTTCTCCCTCATCTGTTTCCAGGCACCCTGGGATATTTATCTAATCCAAAAACCTTCTTGCCTTTGGGGCTTTCCTCAAGCTTTGCCCAGAGATGCACTCTCACCCCCTGGCCTATGAGGGCCCAGCACAATTGTCACCCTTTGGTGGCAGCCCTTCCTGGCAGTCTCCATGTTGTCATTAACCGTGCTGAAGGGCCTGCCCTGACAGCTGCTTTGTACTTCCACTTTTGAGATTTGCTGTGCTGTGCTAGGCTGAGGTCCCTCAGACCCAAGGCCCTCGTTAATGTCCTGCTTCTGTTCTCTGCCTCTGTACACAACTGGTGCTGCTAACGTCCTACCAGCCTGGCTTTGAGTGTGCCTATTTGCCTTCCCAGGAGTCACAGAATCTTTCATCCTGAGCTCTAGTAGCGTTAGTCTCTGCGTCCGACTCTTTGGGACCCTACGGACTGTAGCCTACCAGGGTCCTCTCTCCATGGGATTCTCCAGGCAAGAATATTGGAGCGGGTTGCCATTCCCTTCCCCAGAGGATCTTCCCGACCCAGGAGCCGAACCCGAGTCTCCTGCATTGCAGGTAGATTCTCTACCGTCTGAGCTACAGGGCTGTGCCCTGCCCTAATGGTGCTTGGGTTTTGTTCTCCAGGCTTTTGTGCCATTTCCTGCCATGGGAAAATTCTATTACCTCGTCTATCATGTTTCAATTTAAGAGAGACTTTGGGAAATGTTTTCAAATTCTCCACATGTTCTTAATATTTACCACATAAAATATTCTACATGCTCAAAGAACCATGTTTTAGTTTTCAGGTATGTCTGTATTTAGGAGTTCATCTAATCAGTAATAATGATTTTTAGTTTCCATTGAGACTGCATGTGTTAATATTTTTGAGGCACATGTTTTCAGATCAGATAACCTAAATTTTAAGTTTTTCTACTCCCTATCAGTATTTGTTTATGATAGAAAAGGAGAGCGTTTTAGGCACTGTTTTCTGCTGGAAGATTTTCTCAGATTTATGCTGGCTGAATACTTGGATTGACATCAAGTCTAATCTGCAGTGTTGTGAGCTCTCTAAGCAGTGGTGAGCTTAGAGCTAGTGGTCTCTGACTGCTGTAGTTATTGACTGCATCCTCTGTGTGCCTTGGCGCTGTCATCTTCTTCCAACTGCAGCTGTTTCCTCTGACCCTGTAAAAGTTTTTAAGATGTGTACTAATTTAAAATGAAATAACACATAGATTGATCAGGCAGCATGTCTATGCCCATTTTATTTACCTTTTCATCCACATAGTTATCCATTCAACCTAAATGCCTTAAGTCTCTTGTTTTTAATTACATTTTGCACCTTAAGTCAACTTTTTTTTTTTTTTAACACTTTTGAACTTGTTCAGTTAGTGGGAATGCTTTAGGAATTTTAAAAAATAATTTTGTCCTTTTTTTGCATGATAGATGGAAGTAGTGATTTTAAGTTCACATTTAAAAATTTTGATTCCTTCTTTGTCTTTGTTTTAAACATACAGTTCTTATTTTATGATAGGTCTATAATTTTTCTATCTAGCCCTTTGAGGTATCCCTTGATAGCACCCATGCTAAATTGTTTCACTGTGTGCTTTATAATTTCAAGTTGTATACTAATATTTGGTGGGTTTTTAATTATGGAAACCCCATGAGGCCTGGATTGAGGGCTTATGCTGGTGTATTTTCATCTGTTTACCTGAGTGATGAGACTTGTATTTTAAAATGATCAAATGCAACTCTCCCACATCCCTCAAGCTTCATAAAATGAGGGATCTTTATTTTGTCCACTAATGTTTTCTAAATTGTCTACTACACTGCATGGCATGTACTAGGTACTCTGCTTATATTTTTAATCCATTCTTTTATTGAGGAAGCAGTGGCAGGCTATTGTAGGTACTTCCAGGAACCACTGGGATTTTCTTTTGATTATTTGCCTATTTGTTCCAGTAACATATCTTTGACCCTTTGCTATGCAAAATGATAATTCTAATCCTATTAAGATGAGCATTTCCATCCTTCCTGGGTCTATATTTGTTTCAGAAACTTTGCATTAGAGTTTAGCTCTCAGAGCCATCTTCAATTTCTTTTTTTGTAATCCTCAAATTTCTGTTTTTTGGAGACGAATAAGGCATATTCTGTATGTTTTTTAAAATAAAATTAATCAGATTAATCTTTGAAGGTAGAAAAACCCACCTTGTTCAAATGATACAGTTCAGTAGTAAGAATTCAGATAACCATCAAGCACAAGGAATGATATAGGTGAGAAGCAGGAAAAATTAGCAAAAAGAAAAAAAATTTTTTTAACTTAAAGACATGTGATAGATTTTTCTGATTAATACACTGACCATGGGTGGAGAAAACCCATCCATATTGAAGGAGAGTATAACTTAATGGTTCATTTTTTATTTTAGTGTAATACTCATTATTTTAAAAGGAAATGTAAATACTATTAGTTAGCAGGTATTGTAATTATTTTTAAAAGAAGAAAATGTAAATGTTTGATATCGTGACATTACCAGTAAATTTAGTAGACTTCTTACTCATCTGGTGTGACACAAATTAGATGGAACTTGAATGTGAGCAGAAATAAAATTGCCACTCATGTTAAAGTTATGAAGAGTTTGTTTTCAAAGACATATGTATATTTTTTATGCTGTCTTTATGTGAATATGTTGAACCACTGTCTGTGGTTGATGATGGAAGAATATGAGTTGACCTGCCACTTGGTATTGAGTTTCCTGGTTTTGCTCTGAAAGATCTTTACAAAAAGGGGAAATAAAGATGGGGTCGTGTGACATAATGATGACTAAACATTGGTTTTTTTGTTTTGCAGTTCCAATTCCTGGCAGATTTGATCGGCGAGTATCAGGTATGTATTCTTTTTCATAACATACTACTAAAATGCTATTTTAAGATGGAATTATCTTAAATAAAAATATGTTCATCTTTTTAATAAAAAGGTAAGTTGATAGCATTATAGAACATTATCAGAATTACCTGTAATGCCTTTGTTGTTTCATTTTGTTTTAAATATATATGTGCTTATTTTTAGATTACTATAGTAAGTTTGTCTCATTTATGTCATTGATATTTTTCCATGTTCATAATTAGGGCTTCTAAAAACAAATTTTCATATGACTATTTCTGGCATTCTAGATTACACTTGCCATTAATTTTTTTTTAAGGTCTATTTATTTTTATTTTTGGCTGTGGTGGGTCTTTGTTGCTGCACATGGGCTTTCTCTAGTTGAGGCGAGGGGGTTGCTCTGTGTTGTGGTGCATGGGCCTCTCACTGAGGTGGTTTCTCTTGTGAGGCACAGGCCCTAGGGCGCGAGGCCTTAGTAGTGGCAGTTTGCAGGCTCTGGAGCCTGGGCTCAATAGTTGTGGAGCACGGGCTTGGCATGTGTGATCTTCCCAGAGCAGAGATTGAATCCGTGTCTCCTGCATTGGCAGGTGGATTCTTAACCACTGAACCACCAGCGAAGTCAGCCATTAACTTCTTGCTCATGTTGTTGAGCCTCTTAAATTACTTCCTCAGTTGTAGCGCTGGGAGCAGCAGTCTCTGGTCAGACACTGAGCATTGCCTTGGCTTCTTCTTTATTCAACTTTCAAGAGACAATCTAGAAAATGGGCTAAAGGGAGAAAGACACCCTGCCAAGACCTGTTCTTCACCTCCATCTCACTAATATAGGTGGTGCTGACTCCTTTCATTTATTTTTTAAATATATTTTTATATTCTTGACTTACAAATGTACTCCTTTAATTTCGAAGGAAAATAGTGCCTCAGATTGTTTTATTTGGCATTCCTTTGATTATTAACAAAAAATGAATATTTTCCAAATACAGGAAGTCTTATTTTTATTTTTTTTATATGCAACTATAAGCTCAGTTGGTAAAGAATCTGCCTACAGTGCAGGAGATCTGGGTTCGATCCCTGGGTTGGGAAGATCCCCTGGAGAAGGAAACGGCAACCCACTCCAATATCCTTGCCTGGAAAATCTCATGGACAGAGGAGCCTGGTGGGCTGCAGTCCATGGGGTCGCAAAGAGTCGGGCACGACTGAGTGACTAACACAACAACAACAAGTTTAATAATACATTTCCCATTTAATTGTTGGGATCTAGATAATTTAATTTTGCTCCTTTTTATTGACTCAAAAATTTTGATCTGTGACTGGTACCTACTTCCTGGCACACAGCAAGTACTCAGTAAATATGTATTGACTATATATATTTCTCTTTATTTCATGATTGTTCTTAAGCTGAGAAGGTTCCCATTTTTTTATAGAGCTGATAAATATGTTTTCTGAAAGTTTTTCTTATAATTAAAATGCTAAGCTTCTGGATATATCTAGTTTATTTGGTCACAGTTGGGATGTTAATGTGTTTCAGAATTGCTATGTGAGCTCTATGTGTCCTGTCATTCTTTCATATCCCATTTTTCAGGGAAGTTTCTTGATTTTAAATTGTCATGTGACCTAATTGTCTAGTAAGGCTCTAAATCCCTTTTCTACTCCTCAGTCCTTTTCTTTGAGAGAATCTGCTCATTTATGTTTTCAGAAAGTTTTTGCTAAGGCTGCACACCACAGTCTGTTGAAAGGAGATGGAAGAGTGTGTTGTCTCCTATAAAAAGTCACTTACAGAGATAGGAATCCCCTGGCGGTCAGTGGTTAGGACTGAGCTTTCAGTGCAGGGGGGACGGGTTTGATCCCTGGTTGGGGGTGAAAAGGGACTGAGGTGCCTTATGCCTCCAGGTGCAGCTAAAAAAGACAAAAAGGTCATTTATGGAGAGGAAATAGAGTAGGAATTAAGGCTAGTATGAGACTTACGAACTGCTATCTCCCATTTCTGTTCTTCCCTGCACCTCGTTTTACCGAAAGTTTCGTAATAATCGCTGTTGACATCTGTGGGACAGGCCTGGGAAATGGAGAGTGCAGTGACACCTCCTCCAGAGGTCACAGAGGGTCACAGATGAATTGCTGCGTAGGCTGTTTGTCAGTGTGGTTCAGTCCTTGAACTCTGCAGAACTCAGACAAGTGCTTCATATTATCCCTCATCCTTAGCTCTTACAGTCTTACTGAAAAGTTAAAACTTATTAATATCACTCAAATGTTAAATGAAAATAAAGAATTCTTAACAGAACCAAAAATGATTATGCAGCAGGGAAAATAGCTTGTTAGCAAGAGCTAATGTTTTTTGAATGTAGGCCGTGTACTCGGTACACATTTTTAAGGTCTTCCTAAATGCCTGCCTTGTGTTGTTGAATATAATCCTCACACTAACACTATGAGTTACATGCTATGATTACCTCATTATACGGGTGGGGAAACTGGGGCAAAGCAGAGGTTACATAACTTGAAACAGTCAAGGTGATAAAATGCCCAAAGATAGCTTAATGCCTAAGAACTAACCTTCCCATCCCTAAGTACCCATTCTTGTACCCTCTAGAACTCTTGCTCAGTCTTCAGCTAAATCCCCTACATTTCTTAGCCTTTACTCTGAGTTCGGTCATCTTCATGATCTAGCTGCAGCTTGGCTTGCCCTGAAGGCTCACTTCTCTTTCACTTTCCTTGTAACACTGATAGCAGATGTGTGAATGTCTCTTTTGTTCCTCACTGTTGCTTCCAGACCACTCTCTCTCCCCTCCCTAAAGCCCTCAGCCTCAAACCTCACATTATATTCTCCCAGCCACCGCCCCTCCTTGTTTTAGTCCTCTAATAGCCCCCAGGTTCCTTCTTATTTCCACATAGATAATACTTTGAGCATCTGGTCCTTCCTTTTCTTGAACTCCTCTCCTCCGGGGTTGTGGTCTTCCGCCTACTTCAGCTGCTCACTGTGGTAGGACCAGCATCACAACTTTCAAATGCTCAGTCAGTGATCCAGGTCTTCCAACAGCTCCTTTGCTGTCCTCCTCCAGCTCTCACAACTCATTGATCCTGTCTCTTTCTCATTCTTTCTCAGTTCCTCCTTACTAACCTTCAGTTTCTTGATCAGTAATTATAACCACTTCCTCAGTTCTTTTTTCCTTTTATATTTGCTTGGCTAAGCCACACTCTGGTTAAACCCATTCTCCACATATTCTGTGTCTGCACTGCATCTGTACTTGGTGGAAGGGAAACACGCAGCCCTGCTGACTGATCTTACTCTCAGTTCATGATCATTAACCTCTAGTGCGCTCTTGGTGACCACAATCATACTGTTTCTATACTTCTTTCACTCTCTTGTTCTCCTAGGTAAGTCTTTCATACCTTCTTTCTCCCCAAACCTATAACACCTCCTCCCGCTCCTATTCCTAGCAGATAATCTTCTCAATTTAACTAAAGAAACAGAAATAATAGAAGAGAATTTCCATTGGCTCCCACCACATCTGTCCTTCCCACCTGCCTGTGAGTCCGGTTGTCCACCTGCACACTAGATCTCAGCCCTGCGTCCTTCCAGCAGTTACCTCTTCTTTACCCTGCGTAATCCTCATCCTTCAGCTGGCTTTTCTCTGCAGCACATCACTGGCTCTCCCTTAAAGTAAAACTACAAATCACTGTTCCCTCTCCAGCTACCACTCTTTCTCTGCCTATCTTTACAGCAAAACCTCTTGAAAGAGTGGTCTGTACACACTTCGAGTTTCTCTTCTGTTCTCTCTTGAGCCCATTCTAGTCAGACTTTTGTTCCCATATCTCACCAAAGCTACCTTTGTGGACTGCTCACTCACATTCTTCAGACCTTCCTTTGAAGGATACCTTCCCAGGCCTTAAGTAAAGCCTATCTAAAATCCTCGCCCGTCCCCAGCATACAAACACAACCTATCTCCCTACTTTATTTTCTCCTGAGTGCCCTTCCTCTTGTAACTTACTTATTCCATTTACCATCTAGTTCACGATGTAAGGGTATAAATGCCAGTCAGGCAAGGAATTTCATCTGTTTTGTTCGCTGGTATATAGTTAACATTTGGAACAGTGTTGGTAAATATAGCTGGATCAGGAAGAGAAATTATTGTAGGCAGAAAAAAAAAATCAAGAAGCGCTTCTTGGAGGGAGGCAGAAGTTGCACTGAAAGTAGGAAAATATGGTTACTCTTGGGCTAGTACCAAGAAGGATGCATTCTAGGTAGAAGAATGTCTTAAGACTTGAAGGAGGATCAACGGGATCCAGCTGCTCTGGCTGTTGGAAAGGAGATAAAATTGGAGGAACTTCTCTGGTGGTGCAGTGGTTAAGACTCTGCTCCCACGGCAGAAGGCACGGGTTCAGCCCCCGGGCAGGGAAGATCTGCATGTGCCATGAGGTACAGCCAAAGGAAAAGAAAATTTTAATAAAATAAATTGGAAAGAGAGTTAGGGAATGGGCTCCTGATGTGATCCAAGGATCTCAGCTAAACTGTTTGTTTTAGCTTTGTCATACATGTGCTTTGTCAGACACTGCGGAAGAGAATTCAACGACTCAGGATATCTTGACTGAGTAATAACCTGGAAGGTCGAGCAGCAGAGGAGAGCTCGAAGTTCTCGAGTGTCTCCTCTGAGTCAGGCTTGAATGTGAATGTGAATGTGTCTCTTCCTGTTATTAACCCTTTAACATGGTTCTAGTATTGTTATACCCTCATACCGTGGAAGAGACCAAAGACTGGGGACGTAGAGAAATAGTGAGTGTGGAATAATGGGTCCACTCTCAGACTGTTGTGAGTGTAGCTTCAGAGATGAGGCCTTCTCCTCTTTGATGCTGCCTCTCCCCTGCAAAGTACTGGAATTGAAAACTGCACCTTCCAAATCCTATGTTCTAGCAGAACAGCCCCTCTACATCAAGTGATAAATATATCAATTGAAGACAGGCCATAAATTCTTTCAAGGCAGATTTCTTGAATTCATCCTAAATTAGCGTTAACT